CATTTTAATTTGTACTCCTCACCTTTGTGACGCCATACAGTTTTGAAGCCATCAGTTCCAAAAACATTTATCTTGGTCTCAGTAGTCTTCATCTTTTTCAGCATGAAAATTCTAGGCGGACTTTTCTGCATGGGCTTTAGGAGAGGCTTCCTTCATGGACGACACCCATGCATGCTTCTCTGCAGTGTATGTTGTATTATGTCATGGGAAACAATCACCACAGTTTGGCTTTCTACTTCTTTAGCTAACTGCAGTAAACTTGCATGAAATTTTCTTCAACCCTTCTCATCAGAAGACGCTCCTGTTGAGTTGTTAACTTCCATGGATGGCCAGGACGTCTCTGTAAGATGGTTGCAGTTCCATCTCTGTTAAATTTTTGTATCACTTTTGCTACAGTATTCTGACAAATCTGTTTGGGTGTACTCATTTATGCTGAGCACTGTATATATACAGCAAATGTTTTAGACAGGTGTGAAAAAGTGCTGTAAATTAGGAATGCTTTCAGAAATATAAGTGTTCATAGATATTTTTATAATCAACTAATAAAATGAAAAGAACAGAAATCCAAATCAAACCTATATTTGGTGTGACCACCCTTTGCCTTCAAAACAGCATCAATTCTTCTAGGTAGAATTGCTCACATATTTTGAAGGAACTTGGCAGGTAGGTTCTCCCAAACATCTTGGAGAACTAACAACAGATCTGTGGATGTATGCTGCCTCCAATCATTCCATCTCTTCATGTAATCCCAGGAAGACCCAATGATGTTGAGATCAGGGATCTGTGGGGGGCTAAACCATCACTTCCAGGGCATCTTGTTCTTCTTTACACTGAAGATAGTTCTTATTGACATTGGCTGTATATTTGGGGTCATTGTCCTGCTGCAGAATAAATTTAGGGCCAATCACATGCCTCCCTGATGGTATGGCATGATGGATTAATATCTGCCGGTATTTCTCAGCATTGAGGACACCATTGATCCTGACCAAATCTCCTAATCAATTTGCAAAAATGCAGCCCGAAACTTGCAAAGAACATCTACCATGCTTCACTGCAGCCTGCAGACACTTATTATTGAGTGTATAACCCTTCAGCGAACAAACTGCCTTTTGCTACAGCCAAATATTTCAATATTTTGACTCATCAGTCCAGAGCACCTGCTGACATTTTTCTGCACCCCAGTTCCTATGTTTTTGTGCATAGTTGAGTCGCTTAGCCTTGTTTCCACATCAGAGGTATGGCTTTTTGGCCTCAATTCTTCCATGAAGATCACTTCTGGCCAGACTTTACTGAACAGAAGATGGGTGTACCTGGGTCCCACTGGTTTCCGCCAGTTCTGTGCTGATGGCACTGCTGTATATCTCCTGATGTTGAAGAAAGGTAAGCATGATGTGTCTTTGAACTGCTGCATTAGGTTTCCTTGGCTGACGAATGCATCTATGGTCCTCAATGTTGTCCGTTTATTTGTGGTTCTTCAGAAGAGCTTAAACAGTACTTGAAACCCCATTTTTAAATCTTTGCCTGCAAGAGAACTTGCTGATGCAGTATAACTACCTTGTGTCTTTTTTCTGTGCTGTCTTGTCATGGTGTATGAGCTGTGACATGAACTGTCTTCCACAATCTCACCTTGGTAGCAGAGTTTGACTGTTCCTCACCCAGTTTCAAGCCTCCTACTCAGCTGTTTCTGTTAATGACTGTGTTTCAACCTACGTATGAAATTGATGATCATTAGCACCTGCTTGGTATAATTGGTTAAAAAGAAACTCCACTTTTGTTGAGAAAAAAACCTTTCCACTCTGGGTGATCTATGTACATTGCAGGGATTTTAACAAACTGTATTGCAGATTCCTACCTTTTGTTATTCTGAAGGAATAGCTGTTTGTTTGTCTGTGTCCATATGCAGAGTGAATCAAATGGGAGTGGTTTCATAATTATCAGTCAACTGATGCACTTGCAGGGTTCTAATGAGGAAAGTGGCAGGGTCTGCATCCCTTTAGACGTGATTTCCTTTGGAAGTATCTCACCCAAAATTGCTTTTTTATTGCAGGGCATGCCCAAAATTTGACTTGTATCTTAGTGCAGACTTCTGGGAAAGCCAGTAAGCTTATCACGCAAGCAGGAAATGGCATATCTAGGGGGTGTTCTGTACACCATCTGTGTACAGAGAACATCAGGTAGCCATATTGCATTGCATTTTACAGAAAATTAGAGCGCTGAAGATTGAAAAGGAAAGGTCATTTTTAATAACATTCAATTGCAATATGATTTGTGTTGCAATTGTATACGCTCTATTAACCACTTGCCTATCTGGCACTTTTACCTCCTTCTTGCCCAGGCCAATTTTCAGCTTTCAGTGCAGTCGCACTTTGAATGACAATTGCGCAGTCATGCAACATTGTACTCATGTGAAATTTTTATCATTTTTTTCACACACATAGAGCTTTCTTTTGGTAGTATTTAATCACCACTGGGTTTTTTATTGTTTGCACTATAAACAACAACAGAGCGAAAAAATTTGAGAAAACAAAAGTTTTTCTTTGTTTATATTATAAAATTTTGCAAACAGGTAATTTTTCTCCTTCACTGGTGTGTGTTGGTGAGGCTGCACTGATAGACAGCACTGATGGGAATTGATGGTCACTGATGAGATGGCACAGATAGGCAGCACAGATGGGCAATGATGAGGAGGCACTGATGACGCTACACTGATATGCAGCAATGATGGGCACTGATGGGCAGTGCTGACTGACAGCACTGACTGTTGGCACTGACTGGCGGCACTGATGGGCACTGATGGGTGGCACTGCAGGGCACTGATTGGTGCAACTGGTGGGCAGCACTGATGGGTGGCACTGCTGGGCACTGATCAGCAGTGCCCTGATGATCAGTGCAGATATCCTCTGTGCCATTTGCCAGTTATTGGCATTGCAGCACAGTGGCTAAATGGTTAGCACTTCCGCCTGGCAGTACAAGGGTTGTTGGTTTGAATCCCAACCACGGCACCTCCTGCCTGGAGTTTGCATGTTCTCCCTGTGCCTGCGTGAGTTTCCTCCCACACTCCAAAGACATGCTGGTAGGTTAATTGGATCCTGTCTAAAATTGGCCCTAGTATATATATGAATTTGAGTTAGGGCCCTTAGATTGTACACCCCTTGAGGGTTAGGGAGTGATGTGAATGTACAATATATATTGTAAAGCACTGTGTAAATTGACAGTGCTATATAAGTACCTGAAATAAATAATAAATTACTTCCTTCAACGCTGTGACAGCTCCCCTGATGCAGTAGCTCAGAGCTCAGCGTCTGAGAGCTCACTCCTGTGATGGTGGAGGTGAGCAGTAATGACTAGGCCTCACCTAGCAACCCCCTGGGAGTTTTCCAGTCAGGCTTCAGGAGGTATGTAAATGCAACTGATCTATAGCAAGGGCACTTTTCAACTTTAGTTAGAGCTGCACAGTTTGTTTGTATCTACAGACACCCCTTATCTGCATAGGCAGCTTTTTGGTAAAGGTGAACTATCCCTTTAACCTCCTTAGCGGTTTTCCCGAGTGTACCTCGGGGTAAAATTTCAATACCAAGAGCGGTAACCCTGAGCTACACTCGGGTTTACCATGCGGCGTTGCTCAGGGGGTCCCTGCAGCACTTACCTTGTCCTTCGCTCCTGCGATGTGTCCCCTGCAGTGTCCCCGGCCATCTCCTCCGGCCGATGCCGGCATCCGACTTCCGTGTTCTGGTCCCTGTGACGTCGGGACGTACGGGCGCCGGAACTGGCGGGAAATTTGAAATTTTTTGTCATTTTTGCTGTCATTGCTGTTTCAATGCATTTCACATATATTTTGTTCCTAGTGCTTTCTCCTGTGCCCTGCCTGCAATTTTGACTGTTCTTTCTGCCTGGAAACTTAGAAAAGTCCATGGCTTCCAAAAAGCGTCCCTTTACGTCAAAAGCGGTTTTAGACCAGCTAGAGAACAGCGATAGTAAATCAGAACCACTTGCAGAATTGAGTGATAGTGATTCGTGGGGGAATTCGTCATCAGACACTGAAAACGATTTTGCGACTTTGCTCAGCGATGTGCGAATTTGCCTCTGTATTTCAAATTTCAGTGTTTTTGGTTTGATTATATTATTGAATTAAATTTATTATTATTATATTATTATTTTTTATGATTATTTATTAAATTATAATTTATGATTTCGTGTTTCAGGTTTTATCATATCCGGAATGTTTACTAGACTCTTGTTCGGACAGATTTCAGTGAGTTATTCCTAAAAATTACAGCCTACAATAAAAAACTACATATTTCCATGCAAAAAAATGGTACCGCTTTCAGCACAAAAAATCGGAAAGAATCATACCGCCGAGGAGGTTAAAGTGTGTGCACATGGCTGCTTAAAAATACCTTGTGCCTGGCTGTCAGCATACTGTAGTAGTTGGAAATACTGGGGCAATAGTCAAGCTGCTGCTACAAGGGTAGTGCTACAATGGGAACACCCAGAACTCCCAAGTGAAGAAGCAGAAAGTCAGGAATCAGGTAGCGCCGTGTTGGAGTATCCAGGACATAAGAGCAGCCAGGGGCTCTCTCTGGTCACCGGATTCCAGTCTCTGGGCCCCTTACAGACTTTGGATAATGCTTCCATGTACGCTTTGAAGTAATGTGTAATATGTCAACACTGTGCAAGTACAGAGATAACACACTACTCAGCAAACACCACGGTACCTCATACACCAGTCAGATCAAAACCTGCCATGTAAATCTACATTTTATGGGCATTAATGGCTCGTTTCTACTAATTTAAAAATGAAACTACAGAAATATTAGAATGTGTGGTAAGTAGAAATGATGTTGGTGCAGGTGTTACACTCCCAGGATTCCTGCTGTTTCTAGTATTCTTTATAGATGATCTCACCCATGTAATTATACAGACACGCCTCCCTATTCTGTGTACATTCAGTATTCTTTTGACACACTTTGCTCTGTATCAGCGTGAATCAGCGTTTAGCCATGGCAGATCATTCTCATCTCACTCTTTTTATGAACGATGGAAACAAGATCCCAGTTATTGGGTTTGGGACGTACGCTCCAGAATATGTGAGTACAGACAGGCCTGTAGAATATTTAAATGTTTGGGGATTATGGGAATCTATACAATGCGAAACATGAAAACCTTCTGAGAGGTTAGAAGAGGCCCGGATCCTTGAACACTGTAAGGCCCCTCATTGTTTAGGAAAGGAGCTAAAAGTATTTTAGTGTAAAGAACATTGTGTACGAAAAAAAAAATGTATCACAGAACGTAGTAGAGCAACAATTTATTCTTCTTTAGACACTTCAGCCCGAATTATTGGACTGAGTCACACAAATCCAAGGATATTTGTGCAAACACACTTGTTGCTGTTATTATCACTTATGATGTTTTCCACTGTGCAACAGCCCAATAAAAAGTAACTGCCTATCACTAAGGATGAAGTGAACTTACCTGGCTTCAGTCTGTGGGACAGTCACCAACTGCTCATAAATTCTCGTACGGTATATGCAAATGGAGAAACGCAGCAAATCCCGTGCATTTCCTGAACCGTATCCAAAAATCACTGTGTTCATGTGATCTGCTGCACATGTCAATGTTTAGTTAATGACACCCAAAAAACAGGTTGCAAAACACAGTGCGATTGTCAGAATCAGATTGTATTGGTGTGAAAACCCATGCAATCTGATTCTACTGTGGCAAAAAAAAAGTTGCCTGCACCTTTTTCGTGCGGGTGCAGTCAGATTGGAGCCATACAAAATGAATGGGCTCAAGTCGCACTGCACAGAATCGTATGTGATTTGAATAGTATTTGCAGTGCGATTCCTATCCGAATCACATGCCGTTTCCCACATCGCATATGTCTGAACCCAGGCTGAATGTTAATTTGAAGCTTTTCAAGGTCAACGGGAGCCAACTCTTTAAAATCAATTCTGTTGACTTTCTGAGCCAAAAGACAAGGGTTTGTCAAAACAGGACAGAAGTGACATTTAGGGATTAATTGGCACAAAATAGTTAAAACTTTACATTTTTTAAAATGTATTCACACAGCGTATTTCTTGCTATTACTATAACCTACCACCAAAGAACAACAGAAAATACATTCTCTGGCTCTTGACAGTCACAGCAATACCACATTCTGTATGTGTATGTAATCTATAGGACTGCGCCCTAGACCTTTTGGATATCAAAAACTCAAAAAAAAAATAAAAAATAAAAAAAAGTGATTTAAACAAAACAACAAATAGGGCAGCTACCGGTCTGAATGGTGTAACCATCAATTGGTAAGTTGTCAAAAAAAAGGGAACCGTGCTACTCCTTAACCCCTTGGCACAGGCGCCTCACGGCCCTTTAAGGGTTTCAGAAGCCGGGAGGCAGGGCGGGGTTTTAAGGTCATGTGACCGCCGTGATCAGGGGCGGACTGACAACTCATGGGGCCCCCGGGTAGGGGATCATGGGGCCCCTGTGTCCTTGCCAAACTCAAAAAAAGCCTATGAAAAAGGTACCAGGGGCATCTCACGGGGCCCCCTACTGACCCCGGGCCCTAGGGCATCAAGTTTCCAAATGGTCAGTCCGCCCCTGGCCGTGATTCGCCATCATGGCAGGTCACATGATCAGGAAAGGTCCCGATTGAAAGAGATCGGGACCTTTCCATGAGTACGGACATGTGTGCTGGGAGCACACTCTTAGCACATATGTTTTTGTTAATTGCACGCAAATGTGCAGTGGCTCGGCAACAAGGCCCAGACGCCTTGAGGCTGCACATTTGTGTGCGGCTGGCGTGAAGCGGTTAAAATGTGCAAACCATGCAAACAATGTGCAAACATACAGTCTAAATATATGAACATATATATATATATATATATATAAACCCTCTCTAAAGTGCTAATATTATAAGTGTGAATATAATATATACATTTCTAATCACAAATACATTCATCTTAAAAAAGCATAGATATATAAAAAAGTGCAGTGAAAAATTAAAGTGCAAATCAATCTGTGACCTCTATATAACATAGATTGAAAATATTAAAGTGTCCTGTGCAATCATGTATAAGGTGCAAGTGTTATGTCATCCAACAAGTTGCAAAGTCCAGTATATATTCTTGCGATGTCCTCTGGGAGCAGACGTCCCCAGAGGAAGTCAAGTGATGAAACACATAGAGCATGGCTAGAAGGTGATGTCACCTTAATCAAAGCCAAATCTTACATCCAACCCAAATGTAATCCTACTGATTGGCTTCTGTCAAATGGACTGCTGGAAAACCTTGTTCGATCAGCCAATCAGCTGCAGCGCTGATCAGTGTATTCAGATAGTGGAGGAGTCTCTGTTGTCACAAAACAATGTCCCATCAGGGCAGATTTTGTTGTGTGGATGCAAGAACAGGCTGAACGAAAAAAAAAAACCTGACTGTGCACCCAGCTTAAAGCAGGCCATAGACCTTAAAATCTGATTGTACGATTGCTATTACACAACAAACACTGCACATATATTAGGTACAGTAATGTGATTTCCAAATGTGCTCTGCGCTCAGCTGCCTTGGAGTGAAGCCAGATTATATAACTTGTTAGAGCTCCGAAATGTTGCAATGCTTGTTATGCTTGTTATGTGACTTGAGCTGAATGGATCAAAATTTGGCCAGTTCAAGAGGGTCCAGCTGAATTTTGAACCATGTATGGCTATTCCCACTGAAAAGACATCGCATCGATCTAACAATCGACTTCAGTCAAACAGGAATGGTGGAAAATTTTCCTCAGCCAGCAGCTGCCATGGCAGCCATTGATCGGAGTAGTATGACAGCGGAGGGTCCCCACTGTCAGAATACAATGGCACAGCAGGGAGGATTATTCCATCCACCTTGCTTGTGTGGATGGGGGTGATCTGTATGTTTTTTCAATCACCCCACTGTCTGATCACAAAATTACTATATTGCTAAAAGTTTTGGGACACCCCTCCAAATCATTGGATTAGATGTTCCAATCACCTCCATGGCCACAGTGTGTATAAAATCAAGCACCTAGGCATGCAGACTGCTTCTACAAACATTTGTAAAAGAATGGGTCACTCTCAGGAGTTCAGTGAATTCAAACATGGTACCGTGATAGGTTGCCAACTGTGCAATAAGTCCATCCGTGAAAATTTCCTTGCTACTAAATATTCCACCGTCAGCTGTTAGCTGTATTATAACAAAGTGGAAGCAACTGGGAACAACAGCAACTCAGCCACCAAGTGGTAGGCCATGTAAAATGACAGAGCGGGGTCAGCACATGCTGAAGCGCACAGTGCGCAGAAGTCACCAACTGTCTGCAGAGTCAATAACTAAAGACCTCCAAACTTCATGTGGCCTTCAGATTAGCACACCAACAGTGCATAGAGAGCTTCATGGAATGGGTTTGCATGGCCGAGCAGCTGCATCCAAGCCTTACATCACCAAGTGCAATGCAAAGCGTCAGATGCAGTGGTGTAAAGCACACCCGCCACTGGACTCTAGGCAGTGGAGACGTGTTCTCTGGAGAGAAAAATCGCACTTCTTTGTCCGATAATCCAGTAAACATGTCTGGGTTTGGCAATTGCCAGGAGAATGGTACTTGCCTTACTGCATTGTTGCAAGTGTAAAGTTTGATGGAGGAAGGATTATGGTGTGGGTTTTTTTTCAGGGGTTGGGCTTCGCCCCTTAGTTCCAGTGAAGGGAAGGCATCAGCATACCAAGACATTTTGGACAATTTCATGCTCCCAACTTTGTGGGAACAGTTTGGGGATGGACGCCTTCCTGTTCCAACATGACTGCTCACCAGTGCACAAAGCAAGATCCATAAAGATATAGATGAGCGAGTTTGGGGTGGAGGAACATGACTGACCTGCACAGAGTCCTGACCTCAACCTGATAGAACACCTTTGGGATGAATTAGAGCGGAGAGACTGCAAGCCAGGCCTTCTGTCTGACATCTTTGCCTGACCTCACAAATGCACTTTTGGAAGAATGGTCAAACGTTCCCATAGACACTCCTAAACCTTGTGGACAGCCTTCCCAGAAGAGTTGAAGCTGTTATAACTGGTAGGCAGGTGTACCGATACTTTTGGCAATATAGTGTATGAGTAATCTTTGTCCAGCCAAATAAATTGGTCATGTCTGAGTATTTGAAATGCTTGGTGATCTCTAGGATTTCTGGAATAAAAGTGACAGACAGCATTATCCATAGCGAATCATTGTAGCACTTGTGTGGGAGCTGTTTGGATTGCACCATATTTTCTTCAATACAGCTTGAAGCTGGCGAAGTGCAATAAAAATGAACAAAGAATTCTGTGGGGCTCCACCAGCTACACACTGTGCCTGATATTTTTGAATGGGATGGCCCATGATGTGCAAAGCGAAGAGCAGTGTAACAGAGTGTGTATAGTGCTATACACGCTCCATAACACGAGCCCCTTTGCAGTCTTTGTATTTGCATATTTTTCCTTTATTAAGGTGTCTATTTGCTTGCTATCTGTGTAATATTGCTTTAGTTTTCCTTGTTTTTACTGTCTGTTTTTTCCTTCTGATATTCAGATGAACCGTACCTATGCAAAAAAGGCAGACAAACTCCAAAGTAAAAGATTTCAGAAAATGTCACTAGCTAAAAATTAATTAACTTTGATTTACAGTGCTGGTCTCTGGCACCAGGAGCTTACTGAGAACAGTGTTTGCACTTACTGAAGGACAGGAGCTCACAGCAAAGTAAACAGAAGTGGCCATGCAGTCCAAATGTAACTGTACATGCTTTTCATGCAAACCAGATCGATTTTACAGAGCAGTGTTTGCTGTACTGTGGGCATCTTCTGTGAATCATCTGCTGGGATGAGTGAAAGTGAGATCAGCACTCCCAACATGCACACTCACAGCAGGAGGAGTTGAGCTCTTCTTGAGCTTCAAAAAAGGAACTCCTTCAAGTCAGGCTTCATGTAGTGGAGAAGATATCAGGCAGTGGTAGCAGTGGTAAAGATGTTATTTTAGGAAAAATCATTAAGTAATTATCAGTGGCATCCCAAGGCAGGTGCAGGGGGTACGCGCCGCACTGGGTGACACCTACC